ATGTTTTAGCTTCGAGCACCCTACTAGGCAGAACGTAAGAAGGAGGAGCACTTGCAGGAAGGCCTGTTGGCCCTACTAGAGCAGTACCTATATAATTCATCCCACTAACAAAACGTTTAGCCCAACCCAATTTTCAAATGCTACAAGTAATAAGCTCTGATATGCAAGTCCCACTCTCAAATCAACCCCGCTCACTCATAAAGATGACATAAGGTAACTATAAGAGCAGACCGTTCCACCTCATCATTTACCCCTTTATTACCAATGTTCATTTATACATTTTATTAGTGCCTAGAGTCCTTATGGAGGGGGATTCCCATTCCAAATAACCTCTCTGTCCTCTCTCCTCCTCCCTGTCTTCCATTCATCAACAACAGCCTTCAATAAGGTAACTGTCATGTTGGAAATGTTCATTCTTTTGGCGCATGTAAATCTATCGTTTAGGTAAAAAAAAAATTGTGTGTTGAAGACTTTGGATGTCGTAGAACGAATTAATTGTATTCTACATTATTTCTTATGGGGCAAAATTGATTCGAAAAAATGCCATTTCGATAATTATCCCGCTTCCAGGACACGGATTATGGTACGATTATTGACTGGGGCCAATGTATTATATGTGTGTGTGTATACTTTATTATAATGTATATGTGTGTGGCTGTGTATAATATATAATGTATATGTGTGTGTGTGTGTATATATATATAATGTATGTGTTGTGTGTGTATATATATCTAAGTATGTGTGTGTCTGTTGTCTGTGTATATATATATATAATAATAAATATATATATATATATATATATATATATATATATATATACTTATATATATAATATTTATATATATATATTATATATATAATATATATTAGTATATATATATATATATTTATTTTTTTATTATCACACTGGCCGATTCCCACCAAGGGCACGGGTGCCCCTGAAAGAAAAACTATCACCTCTATTCACTCATCACTGTCTTTCAGAAGGGTGCTTTTACACACAGTTTTTAAGGCTGCAAACATTAACACCCCTCCTTCAAGTGCAGGCACTGTACTGTACATACAAAAAATTATCTACATAACATATATATTATAAAACTATATATATATATATAATATATACAGAGGACACCCGCATAACGATTACCTCCGAATGCGACTCAATTATGTAAAAGTAGTATTTATGTACGTGCGTTTTGTACGTGTATGTTTGGGGGTCTGAAAGGAATAGATCTACTTCACAATATTCCTTATGGGAATAAATTCGAGTCGTACTGCACCTGAACATTTATGAGTGGAAAAAATTATCGTTAACCGGTGGGCGGTCCTCACGTATATATAGTATATACACCACATATATATACATATATGCAAAACAACCACTCTGGAATTCTCTATATTCTTTCAGAGTGGTTGTTTTGCATATTTTTGTAAATCACCTGTTTACTGTCAGATCTTATTGCAGCATATATTATACATACGTACATTATACATACATATTTACATACAGTAACTACATACATACATATATACATACATATATACATACATACATACATAATATATACATATTTTTTTTTTTTTTCAACAAGTCGGCCGTCTCCCCACGAGGCGGGTGACCCAAAAAAGAAAGAAATGAAAATACCAAAAGAAAAATACTGTCATCTATCATTACACTTTCACCACACTCGCACATTATCACTGTTTTTGCAGAGGTGTCAGAATACAAAAGTCTAGAAGCATACACATATAAAGATACACTAACAAATCCCTCCAAACTGCCAATATCCAAACCCCTCCTTTAAAGTGCAGGCCATTGTAATTCCATTTCCAGGACCTCAAGTCAGAGTATATGAAAATAAACCGGTTTCCCTGAATCCCTTCACTAAATAGTACCCTGTCACACTCCAAACAGATGTCAGGTCCCAAGTACCATTCGTCTCCATTCACTCATATCTAACACTCTACGCACGCTTGCTGGAAGTCCAAGCCCCTTACCCACAAAACCGCCATTACCCGTCTCTCCACCCTTTCGAGACGACCCTACCCCGGCCTTCCTTCCCCTTTAGATTTATATGCTTTCCATGTCCATTCTACTTGATCATTCTCTCTAAAATGACCAAACCACCTCAACAACCCTCTTCTGCCCTCTGACTAATTACTTTGTATTAACTACCACACCTTCTCCTAATTTCACACTCGAATTTTTCGCATAATATTTACACCACACATTGTGTCTTAAACAGGAATCTCCACTGCCTCACAACCGTCTCCTCGCTGCTGCCATTTACCACCATGACTTTCACACCCACTATACAGAGTTGTTGTACTACTATAATTTCAAAACAGTTCCTTCTTTGCCTCCATAGATAACGTTTTTTGACTCCCACATATACCTCCAACGCACCACTCACCTTGTTTCCCTCATCAATTCTATGATTAACCTCATCTTCATAAATCCATCCGCCGACACGTCAATCCAAGTATCTGAAAAACATTCACTTCTTCCATACTCCTCCTCCCCAATTTGATATCCAATTTTCTTGCTTTTTATCTAAATATTTGACACCCTCATCACCTTAGACTCTTTTCTAGTTCACTTTTCAACTTTCTCGCCCTTTACACACATTCCAAACGCATCCACAAGACCTTTGCCAATTTCTCTTTAGAATCTCCCATAAGCACAGTAATCATCAGCAAAAAGTATCTGTACAAGTTCCATTTTGAATTGATTCCCATAATTTATCCACCCCTTGCCCCAAAAACCCTAGCATTTACTTCCTTTTACAACCCCATCTATAAATATATTAAACAACCATGGGCGACATTACACTTCCTGTCTAAGAACCTACTTTTACGGGAAGGAGTAGTCTCCCTCTCTTCTACACACCCTACCTGAGCACTCACTATCCTCAGTAAAAACTCTTTACAGCATTTTAATAACTTACCACCTATTCCAAATACTTGCAAATCTAGCCACATTGCTCTCCTATCCACTCTATCATATGCCTTTTCTAAATGCATAAATGCAATAAAAACTTCCCTATTCTTTATTAAATACTGTTCACATATATGCTTCAATGTAAACACCTGATCTACAATCCCCTACCCATCTAAAACCTCCTTGTCATCCGCAATCTACATTCTGTCTTACTCTAATCTTTCAATTATAACCCTACCGTCATTTTCCTGGTATATCAGTATCATATACCTCTATAATTTTTACAGTCTCTTTAGTCCCTTTCCAACACAAATTATAACTATAACCTTTACCTATACCCATCTTCTCTCCGCAACACAATCGCCTATGGTGCTACCTCCCTCTCTTTCTTACATTTATCTATGTCAACAAAAGTACCAACCAACAGGCCACAACAACTAATACCCCCTGCTTTTAAACATTTCTGTCATGATCCCATCAGTTCCAGCTGCTTTACCCCCTTTCATTTTACGTAATGCTTCACGCATGACTGGAGAATGTTGAACAGCTTGGGCCCATGACTATGTGTTTTCTCTCGGTGTACTAACAGCACCCTCACTTTCAGTTGGGAGGATGTTGCATCATCTTCAAGTCTTTAGCTTTCATGAGGAGTGATTTGTGTGTGCAGATCTGGGACCAGTCAGAGCTTTCCAAGTGTAAATTATTATGTATCTTTCTCACCTGTACTCCAAGGAGTATAGGTCAAATGGTTTCAAACTTTCCCAGTAAACGAGGTGCTTTACTACACTTATATGCGCAGTGAAGGTCCTCTGTATATTCTCCAGATCTGCAGTTTAACCAGACATGAAGAGTTCCTTAGTGTACAGCAGTATTCCAACCTAGACAGAAAAAATGACAGAGGATCATCACTGGCTTGGCATCCCTTGTTTTGAAGGTTCTCATTACCCATCTTATTTTCCTCGCAGTTGTGATAATGACACTTGTCATCCTTGAAGGTGAGATTCTCTGACATTATCACTCTTAACCCTTTCACATTTGTTTTTTGCTCTTGTGTGGTTACAATTTAATCTTATACTCCATTCTAGCTTTTAATTCCTCAAGTTTTCTGTAAAAGAGTAGCTGGAATTTGTCATCACTGAATGATTTGTAAGATTTGATTTATATCCACTTGAAGATTTAAAGTGTCCTCAATGGATGAGACTTATGCAAATTCTTCTATCATCTATGAATGAAGACATGGTGCTATGGTTTACATCTCCATCTACATTAGAGACGAAGAGGAGAAAAAGGATGGGGGCAAGTGCTGTACCTTGTGGAACAGCTTTTCACTGCAGCAGCCTCTGACTGGAACTATTTACTATTACTCTGTGTTCTCCTTGATAGATAAGAATTCATTTGTACACTTCTCCAGTTATTCCTTTAGTACACATTTTGTGTGTTATTACATCATGACTGCACCAGTCAAAGGCTTTTGCAAAGCCTGTGTATACTATGTCTGCATTTGGTTTGTCCCCCGGTGCATACAAGGCCATGTCATAGTGGTTCAGTAGTTGAGAAAAGCAGGAGCGAACTGCTCTGTACCCATGCTGCCCTGGATAACAAGAAATATCCTTCCCATAATTATTTCATAAATGTAGATACCTACACCATGGGAAAAGTGGGAAAAATTTTCAGCAGTCAGTCATGTTTTAAGGAAAAAAAAAATGGCTATCACTGCCAGGAACCCTTAAAAAGAAGGATGCCCTTTTACAAACCATGCTGAAGGAAGCAGATTCAGCACAGTACAGCCAGACAATGGTAGTAGTCAAGATTAAATGAAAAGTCAGCACTGGGACCTAAGGCTTCTGGGGAAAACAGCAGCCTCAAGACATGGGTAAAAGCAGCATAATGTTATAATGACTTGAATAATGCCCAAGTCCTTATTGGGTTCAGAAGCAATATGTCAGCTGGTTGCACTTTCAATGGGTCCTATCACAGAATTAGGTATTTATAGTGTTAATAACAAAGTTCATAAAAATAACTCACGAAAAATCAGTGTAATAACCCTTAAATCAGTTACCTTTGCTTCAGCCCTAAGGATTTCAAGAATAGCAGAACCTTGGGCGTGGTATGCTTGGGCAGTTGTCTTGTGGGCCTTTGATTCCAAATGCTTTTGATAACACTGTAAAGAAAAATATACTTTCTGAAGCAATTCTATTAACCTAGTTTTAGTTTGACCTAAATGGTCTACATAACTAGAAGCTTTTCACATGTGCTTAAATGTCACCCGTGTTTATAAAACTCTCTACCATGAGGAAATAAAGTATTTTATTTAATTTATATAAAAAATATCTCTCATTTAATCAAAGTAGAAAGCAGCTAGTGAACTACTGTATTTGGGTGTGGAATTCTTAAAAAAATTAATTTGGTATTATTTCAACAGACCTTAAAATTTTAAAGCAGTTAAAATGTGTGGTGAATATCACAGACAAGGACATTATCTAGAAGGCAGAAGTCAACTTCTACAAAAATATTTGAATTTAAAATTTTTGGGTGAAAATCAACCCTTTGTTTATTTAAAACAAAATTAATGCTATAAAAACCCCATAATAAAAGTTGTAAAAATAAATTTTTGGAAAATTTAGCAGTGGGGTCTGTGAAAAAAAAGTTTTCAGAAACCCCCTGTCTTTTAAAACCAGTGAAAAAGACACCATAAAACAAATTTTTTTTTCAATTTTAAATAAAATCAACAAAAATCAAAACGGCATAAACGGGAAAAAGAGTAAATTATGTTGGGGAAACCATCCTTAACAAAGTACACCAAACCCATGCCAAATCACAAATTTTAATAAAAAAAATTATAAAAATTTTTTAAAAAAAAGGTTAATTAAATCATTAACCCCTTTTTGGGTCAGGCCCTAGTTCATCCCTTGGGCCCCTGTAGTGCCCATTTTTTCTTCCTATTCCATCGGTAACTGTAAAGAAAAAAAACCCCTCTAAAAAGAAAAATGGGTTTATTTGGCAATGGCCCCCTATAAAAAAAAAACCTGACCCAATGAGAAAAAAAATTGATTTTTTTTTAACCCTTTACGTCCCCCCCCCAAATTTTTTAGGTTTTGGGGGCAAAAAATATTTGAAAAAAAAAAAAAAAATTTAAATTTTTGGTGATACACAAAAAACATTACCTAATCCCAAACCTTTCAAACATTATTTTTAAATTTTGGTCCATATTATTAAAATAAAATATTTATTGGTAAAAAAAAAGTTTAAAAGATGGGGGTGGTAGGGAAGTAATATTAAAATTTTCAGGAAAAATAAAAAATTTTCTTTTTAACTTTTTATCATTCTCCGAGCTATGGGTTTTAAATTTAAAACCCGGGGTTGGATTTTAATAAGGTAAAAAGGGGGGTTGGGGGATTTCAATGCTAAAAGGGGGTTTAAAATTTAAAAAAAAGGGAGTAAAAGGAAGAAAAACTTTAAAAACTGGGATGCTTTAAATGTGCTTGAGAATTTCGGGGGCCCCAAAACAAATGAAGGGTAAATTTTAAATGGGGGGGGGGGGGGGGGGTTGGGGGGGGGGGGGGGGGGGGGGGGGAAAAAAAAAAAAATTGGAGTTTAAATTTTGAGCAAAAATGGGGGTACTTGTTAAAAAATTTGGGAAAGAAAAAAAAAAATTTAAATTCAAGAAAATGTAAAAATGATCCGGAAAGGGGGCCATAATAACTGTATCCCTTTTGAGAAAAAAATAGGGGAAAAAATTTTTGGGTGGTAAGGAAATGTATAGGAGTTTGAACCAAAATTTTGAAGATAATTTTGGAGGGGACCAATTAAATAGGGAAATTTTGAATGGGGTAGGTAATTTGGGGGTCCAGGTGTAAATATATGGAGTTTGAGAATTTTTAAAAAGGGTTTATTTGGAATACTTTTTTAAGAAAAAAAGGAAAATAAAAAAAGTTATGAGGGGGGGCAAATGAAGTAGTTTTTTTGGAAATTTTGGGTTAAAAGACTGGATAACCGGGAGTAATTTTAAAATAGAGGGGAAAGAAATAAAATTTTATTTAAGAATGGAGTAAAAGTAAATGGGATACAATGAATAAAAAGGGAAAGAGAGGGTTTGAATTTTTAATAAATAAAGGAGCTTTAGGAAAAATAAAATATTGGAGGATAAGGGGAAAAAGAAGATAGGAAGGGGTGGAGGTATGGGGTAGGTTTAAAAAAGAGTTTTAGGTGTTAGAAAGTTTGTGGTTACAGGAAAGGGGTAGAAAGGAGGATGGGGAGATAAAGTAAAGGTAGTAGGGAAAAAGATTGAGAATTTTTCAAAGTAAAGTATAAGGGGGAAATATATGGAAAAAAGAAGGGTAAAAGAGTGGTAACAAGAAAAAAGGACAAAGAGAGAGTGGGTAAAATTTAAAAAATTTTTTGTTAAAATAAAAAATTTGGTAGAAAAAGTTAAGAAACCCTAGGAACAAATGGTTTTGTATTAAAAAAGGAAGGGGGTTAAAATGGGTTTAAAGGGGATTGGAGAGGAGGAATAGGGGAAATTGGGTTAAATGGATAAAAGATAGGGAAAAAGCTTAAAATTTGGTATAGGAAAGAGGAAAAAAGTAGGAGTGAGGAAGACCCTTTTGGAGGGGGGGGAATTTTTCCATGGTAAAAAAAAAAGGGGGTTAAAAGGCAGCCGGATTGAGGGATAAAAAAAAATTTTTAAAAAAATGGGAATAGTTTTTGGAGTGGGGTTTGAAATTTTTTAAATTAAATGTTGGAAGAGGGAAGGGTGGAAAATTAGACAAGGAACTTTTTGGGTTTCTTTATTGGGAAAATTTTCGCAAAGGGGGTTACAGCCATAAAAAGAGAATTTTAAAAAGGGGGGGAAAATATAAAGTTTTGATGTTGGTGCCATAATTTAAAAAATTTAGGAAGGGTAAAGGGGTTTAAATCCCAAAGGGCAAATCTGGTCTTATATTTTTTTCAAGGTTGAAATTCCCAAAAGAAATGGCAAGGAAGATTCCCATTTTCTTGGGCCGATTTACTTAACATGAAAAAATTTTACCATTTTTTTGACCCTTCCGGCCCGGGAAACCCCTTCTAACCGTACTTTTTTTTCAAGTGATGGTCCCCAAGATAAAGGGTTGAAAGATTCCTTTTCTTCCGTTCTTCAAATTCTTTGTATGAAATTTGAACCACTGGGCAAAGGGTTTCATGATACCCAAAATTTTCACTGTTCTATTTATCAACATGGGTTTCTGAACCATTCTTTTACAAGATCTCCGGGGATTGGAGGAAAAGCCATGGGCAAAATTCCTTTTTAAATAAAGGAAATGGGTTTTAAATTTAAAAAGTGCAAAAAATATAGGGGGGGGAAGGGGTTTCCCTGGTTTTTCCTTTTGGGTTTAAAAAAGGGTTATGGGGGAAAATTATTTTTATTTTGGGAAAAGGGAATAAGATTAAAAAAAAAAGGAAAAAGGAAAGATGCAAGGAAAAAGGTTTTTAGGAAAAAAATAGGGGGCGGTTGCCCCATTTTTACCAGTGCAAAAAAAGTAACTTTTTAATAAGTAAGATTTTGTCTTTTATTTTTTAAAAGGGGGTAGCATGGGGGGGGGAAGTCAAGTTGAAAAATTTTATTTATTTAAAAAGCGTAAAGGGTTTTTCAGGATAACTTTAATTATTTTGGGGGTTTTCCCCAGTAAAATACCTTTAAAAATTGGGACACCGGGTTTTTTTTAAATTTTTTATTCCTCCATTCCCAAAACCCCGGGGTCCCAAAAAAAAATTTCCCTAAAACATCATCCCTTCCAATTTTTACCTTTCTTAAATTTCAAAATTAACCCCCCCTCCTTCCCACCCATTAGGCCCCTTTTTCCCTAACCCCCTTTCATAATTTTTTTGCCCCCCCAAGAGCAAAGTTCCTTTGTCTCCACACCCTATAAAAACCCCCTCACTCTTTTCCCCCCCCCAAAAAAACCTTTTCCCCCCCCCCACCCTTCCCTAGCCACCTACCCCCCCCTCCCAAATATCCCTTTGAATTACGTTTCCTCCTCTCTCCGCCCAAACCCTAACAACCCCTTCTACCTTAAACTTTTTGTAATCCCCACCTCCTCCTTTATTAAAATTTAAATTCCTCTTTTATTACCCACAATTTCCCCCAACACATCCCCCTCCCCACCTTCCCCTCAGAACTTCAACCCATGTTCACACAAAAAGAAGTTGGAAAAACTTCCCACTTTTTTGAAACCCTTTTCCTTTCACAGCCCTTGCCCCACCCTCTTTTTCCCCTTCTTTCTTACACCCATCTTTAAAATTTTAAACCCCCCCCAAAAATACAAACTTTCTCCTACTTTTAAACTAAAATTTCCCCTTTCTTTTTTACCCTAACTTACCTTTTGTAACCTTTAATTTTTTTTTCACCCCCTAAAAAACACCCCAAACCTGCAACTTCTCCAAATCCCCCCAAAAAAACCCCTTTCCCAAACCCAAAACCACAAACCCCCTTTGGGGGGCTTTTTTTTTAAATTTAAAGCTGTTTCCTTTAATTTAAATTTTAAACAACCGGAAAACCCCCAACCTTTCTAAGCCTCTTTTTTTCCCTCTTTCCTACCCCTCTTACCCCTTTTAAAAATTTCCTTTTCTTAAAACCTCCAAACCTACACTTCAACACCAACCCCCCTATCCCCCTTATTTTTAAAACCCAAAAAAATCCAAAAAACTTTTCCTTTTAAAAGAATTTTTTCATTGTCCCTGCCAAAAACCCCCTATTTCCTAACCCCCCCTTTTCCTTTTTAACCCTTTATTAAAAATTTTTAAATAAACCACCATTTTCCCAAAAAACATAACCCCCCCCCCTTTCCCTTTTAACAAAAACTATACCCTCCAATCCGGTCCTTACCCCTTTCTTTTTTAAAATTTCACCCCCCCCCAAAACTTCCCCCCCAACAACCCCCAAAACCCTCCCCCCCCCAAAACCCCAAACCCCCCCCCTTGGCTTTTCCCATTTAAAGATGTTATCCCCCTTGCCCTATACACGAAATCACAGCCCCCTATCTTCAAACATTTAACAATTCCTCAAAATATTCCCCCATTTTCCCAAATACCTTAATTCCCTTTTAATAACCTCCTTCCTATTTTTAAAACTAAAAACCATTTGTTCTCTGGGTTCCTTAACTTTTTTAATCTCACTCCAAAATT